ATGGCCCAAAAGCCTGGCCAGAAACCAGATACATCACCGGAGCCGGGAAGTGAGATACTCGCCTCTAAGCGACCACCGGTGAAGCACAACTTGTTCCAGCTTTGCATCATACCCGACCGATAAGAGACATCGTGATTGGCGAATGCGTCAAACCGAATCTCAAGGTTTCCATCTCGTGTCGTTACTGCATCCGGGTCATACCACTGTGCGCGACGTTAGTTACCACGATGATGTTCCACGGCAGACAAACAAAAGCGTACCTCTAAGTCCTGCGTGACACCATACCACAGGTCAACTGCTTGAAAGTAGGCATCATCATCATCGTAGAATGTTCGGCCCGGAGTGTTGAATTCATCCGAAAACTGCATTGCGAGAAATCAGCCACAATTCCAAAGACCAAGCCCGCGGTATGCTGGCTGATTCCATCCCTTTTTGGGAAGCAAACCGCATCCTTACCACTAACTGCCATTCCTTGCCATCCGCCGTTGTCTTGCTCATGGCTGACTTTGGCGTTTCCGGGTCTATCAAGCCGGTCCGAATATTGGCCAGCATGGGCTGCTGACCGACATCGAGACACAAGGGATCAGTTTCATGACATGATGGTCTTGACGGTTTTCTGAAGCTCTCTACCGCCGACCTGGAAAGAAGAAAAGGTAATCAGCATTCATTCTCCGTACAAAACAAAAAAAAAGATCCGGGGAGGGAGAAGAGGAAAGAGGGCGGGGATTGTTTGCCCCCCCCGCAACCCCGTCCTCCCTCCCCCGATCAAACTAGATTGCATCCATACATGACAGGGTAGCCGATAAACAACACCAAGAAGCCTATAGTGATCAGGATCAAACCCCCAACATTTGCAATCCCGCGCCTGTTCCATATGTCGCACTCTTGATCGTCGTTGGGGTTCGGTTCGTGCAGGTAGTCATCCTTTTCGACATCCTCGGGGAAAAGCAGCAGTCCCTCCATGGGCATGATGTTGTACTTCTCCGACACCGTCTGCGTGTTCACATCCACCTCATCGCTTCCTGCGCGTGACGGGGACCGTAGATCTTCGAACGGGGTATACACATACCCGCGGGTGTCCGCGCTGACGGCACCCTCAGAGCTCCAGCTCGTGCGCCGCGACGACCGGGTCGACAGCTCCGTCGACCGCATGCTATCCATCTCCTCCCGGTGGCCGCGGTACGGTCGCGGCGGGATCAGGAACTCGGTCGACTCCTGCGGTGTCGGCGACCCCCACATTGTCGTTTGCAACGTGCCATCCGACGGCGACTGTACCATCCCTGGCGTCAGCGCCCGTCCAATATGCGGGTGTGGCACCGACGCATAGGGATCATCGGAGTCGGCGAAGGGGTCTTGACGTCCTGAGTTGAGCCGGATGTGAGGAGTTCCACGTCCCGTAGATTTAAAGGACATATTGGTGCGATATGGCGTTTCCGTCCCAATCCCAGCAACAATTCCGTGCCGTTCTCAGCTGCTATTGATTCACTGTCACCCGCAAGCACAAGATCTGACGTTGGTCTGTTGATCCACCGTCGGGCCTGTTGTTTCCTGAACCGGTCGACTTGGGGTGAATGGGATCTGCAGGCTTGTTGACTGGAGAACAGCCTCGCTTGTGTTATGGTCCCGCACTCGCAGCAGACACTAGATCTCCATAAATCACGAAGCAACCTTCTCGACACTGTTGTCCACCGTGGTTGAATTGATGATAGGTTACGCGGTAATGACTGTAGTCGAGGCAAGGGCGACGTAAAGAGGGACAGTTGACGCGTGATGAATTGTAAAAGAGACTGAAACCAATTCAGACGAAACAGTGCACCCAATGCTCACAGACAAGGCCCCAGTGGCTGCGCCGACATGAAGATACGCGCGCGCTGGAAAAGGATTGGCAGGCTCACCCGGTCTAGAGGTGGGTGATGTTAAAGAAGGGTTGAGCGAGGACTGTCGCGCGCAGACAGTGTGGAAAGGAAAGAAAGAGAAGGGAAGCGAGCGATGGAGGGGAAATGCAAAAGAATGGTACAGGGCGAGAGGGCGTGAATGGAGGTTGGTTGGAAGCAATGCGGCCCGTCGCCCAAAGGGGGTGTGGGAAAAGCGCAATGAGCAAAAGACTGCAATGGAGTCAAGAAGAAGGAGAAGAGGAAGAGAGTAAGAAGAGGACAAGAGCAAGGATACAGAGAGATCAAGGTCAATTCAGGTCTGGCTGCACCGACTTCCAGAGCCTATTTTTCTGGTTTCGCTTTTTTCTCCGTTTCCCAAATTATTTCCATGCGATAAATGACAATGGTTACATAGATGGTCAACTACTATTACGGGACCCTGGCACTGCAGGTACAGTACATACAGGCAGACACTGCAGATTGACTTGACTGCCGGAGGGAAGAGTTTGATCCAAACACAGAACATGATGAAAGTGCAGGCATCCGCTGATCAAGGGACAACAGTTCTCTCTTGGCCGAAGAATGCTTCAATCCTGAACCCTGTGTACCCATTGGGCCCTGCAGTGGAGCCTATCGGCCAAATGTTAGCTTGCTTGCGACGCTTGTGTAAAAAAAAAAAAGAACAGAAAAGAATCAAGAAAAAGTAACTATGAGCCCAGCCAGTGGCGCCTGCATGAGAGTCGAGCATCGAAGAGTTATACTTGGATCTGATCGACTCTGCTGCCAGGAACCATGTGATGGAGAACCACTTGTGCATGGCTAGCGTGCAGCCTCATTGCCCTAGTTTGACAAGCAGCAGCAGCAGCAGCAGCAGTAGCAGCAGTAGCCAGCAATAGCAGCATAAACTGTACCTGAACGAGGCAGTACTCCTTCTTTCTTCCTTGCACCTGTGTTTGAAGCGACCAGACCTTGGATAACCAACAAGTGACAACAGCAACAACAAGGAGGTGAATGTAGAGAAAGAATCTGGTTGCCGGCGCGAGTAGGGAATGACGGCCTTGGATCCATGGAATCTGGAGATCGCTTGGGCCGGAACTAAGGCACTAGTCTGTTTTAAGTATCGCTGGGCCAGGTCCACGGTTGGAACGGCCACTAGTACTGTACTCCGTAAGCAGTCTGGAACTGGAACTGTAGGGGAAATCCCACTAGCGTCGATCTTTCTTACCGTATCATACCGTGCACACTGCACCAGGAAAGAAAACAACACTCACAACTTGGAAAATTCTAGCATTCCTACCGGTACGCAGTACTCTTCGACGGCAACAACCACATTCCATTCACCCGTTCACCATTGTTGCCTTGTCAGGGGAGAACTAGTCCTGTCTATACAATTGTATGAGTATAAATTAGCGACCGAGTCTACACATCTCGTTCTCCTGGAGCAGTACATCCTTGGTCTCAGTAACTTCCTTTGTTACCATACACATACTCAATAAGTTACTTGGTCCTCTCACCCGCATCGGCCAAGGTCCCGTAACCTGTACCCTTGTAGTCCCCTGTAGGCCGTAACTCAGTTAGCCTCCCCTATTCTAGCTGTGATCCAGAAGGCAGCTAGAGATCACGCACAGACAACGGCAACCCTATTGGCGCACTGGTCGCCTGGTTCCCCCTGAGATTAAATGTCGTTCTGTCGTTCCCCCAAATATATCGAGTGGCTGGTGGATCGTGCTAGTCAACTGACAATGTCCCTGCTGCACTGTTCAGGGTGTGCCAAAATCAAGGGCAAGAAACCCCTTGAGATGCTTCATCTTGAACTCACAGGGCCGGTCATCCCCGATTCACGCTCAGCACTGGGCATAGATTACCGTAGTGCCTACTGAGTGGTAACTAGTTAGTGTAGGCCAGCAGTTCGTCCCGCCCAATGCACCATGACTAAGACCATCTTCAACAAACCTTAACTAACCACCGGATCAAGATCAATAACGTAGACCATCCTTTTCCAGAACAATACAGAGTTTACCACATCGAAGATCTACAGTTTCAACAACTAGTTCCAATCCTGCGATGACGAAGCCCTGATGCTTAATTCGAAGGTCTTGGATAGATCATATCTCACAATGACAGATGGATGATCCAGGAATATCGGTCAATCACCTGAGGGAGGGCGTTCCGCGCATCCTTTGCCTTTTCCCCCACCGAACGAACCATTGACCTAAGCCATGACCAAATCAAACATGAGAACACCCTCTAAGACAACTCAGGGAAGGGTCTAGAAATCTTCTTTTTCGGTTGCTCACTCGGCTATTCTACTTGTCGAGAACGATATATATAACTGATCGGTCAGTGCTCAGTCTGATGCCTTGGAGTGACATTCACGACAACAGGCTTGGACGGATAGGTTTTACAGCCGCTCATAAAGTATGCTTAGGCTGAGGCACATTTTTGTATGGGCAGCTCGAGATATATAATGAGGCAGATGGCTATAAATCGTTTTAGCATAACGGTGCTTCTGAGATTACAGGAACTAAGTTACTGTGTCTCTTCCATCCAGGCTGATACGTGTCTGCTCACTGCGTGACTCATGCGATATATAAAAAGGCATCCCGTGTGTCCCGGCTAGCAACTTACAACCACGATCTGAGCACCATGCTCACTGTTTGATGGTGATGATTATTTGGTCACTAAGATACCACCTGTGACTCAGTCACTGTGAACTCAACCGGAGCATATATATGCAGCTGAAGCTCAGTTCACAACACAGGGCTACATACACACATCCACAACTGTTCCTTTTCGACAAAACCAATCAACCGCTCCCACCCAAAAGTCGCCAACTGCAACGGCATAGGCATATAAATATAAGCTCAATAGATACTAACACTTTCTACCTTCAAAAACCCAATACCTAAACAGCACACCCACCCATCTTCCTACATCCACAATTAGGCCTAAATACTCCCGAGAGATGCCACACCATACTACCCAATCCAATCAATGCCCCCAGTACACCAACCCCCCCTTTTCCTCTAAGAATAAGCCGAAAGAACAACAATTTCATTACCTCATAAAACAATATACACAACTCATCCCCCGCCTTCACTTCACACACGACAACCTTTAAAAACCCTAAGACTCAATCGCCTTAGCCCTCAACCCCACAAGCAAGCCCCCCTCCGCCTGCAAAGCCACCACATAATACTCCACCCGCGCGCTCCCGACCTCAACCCGGTAGACCTTGACGTCGACGTCCGCCTCCTCCACGCCGGACGCCTGGCTGGCGGCCGCGGCGCGCACCGCGCGCAGGGCCGAGGCATACTGGTTCTTGGGGTCGAAGGACGCCGGGGAGAGGGTCTCGATGGCGGAGGCGAGGTCGTCGGTTTCGGAGATGAGGTTGGAGAAGTTTGCTGTTGATGAGTCATATTATTAGTTGAGGCTTTTTTTTTGGTGATTTTGCTTGCAAGAGGGGGGAATGGAGTCGAACGTACAAGCATCAGGCCACACGCCCCGATGGGCACCGTCCCATTTCAGCGCGACCGGCTCGAAGGGCTCGTCGGTTTCGGAGATGTAGAATGCGTCCACGGAGGTGAGTGGGCCGGGGATGCTGACGCCCGTGTGTATGGTTTCGGTGCGCGCGGCACCACCCCCGCTGCTGCTCGCTTGTTGGTTGTTTCGGGCGGTGTCGAGGTCGGCGTTGGCTTTGTTGAGGAAAGACATGTAGGCGTCGTCGGAGGACATGGTGCGGGTTGTGGTGGTGATGAATTTGGTGGTTGTTGGGGTTGGGGTGGCGATCCGGGCGGGGTTTCTTGATAGTAGAGCGAGGGCGGTTGTTGGACGGTGGACGGATCGAGGTATGCACTGGCGATGGTATAGAGAGGTTCGGGGTCGGGATGGTATGCACAGTTGAGTGGGCTGTTGGTGGGTAGAAGAGGAGTAGTGAACAGTGGGCAAGGCGGGAGAAGAAGAAAGTGATGAAGCCCAACGCGAGATACGATCAATGACGCAATTGCCGCGCCTGCTGGGCGGCCACCGTCGTAGAGGGACGTTCATCATCTGATCGACTAGCCCCAGGAAGGATGGGGGGTTTCTTTGGAGAAGACAATGAAGACTAAGTTCGAAATGGGTTTCTAGAAGGTACTGCGGTGTATGTGGTACAGTACTAGTCCGGTGTCGACAAGTTTCAAGTTTCGGCTTGTTCCTATGGATGGCAAGCTTTTTTTTTTCACGCACAAACCAACCGTGCACTATGCATCAAATGTGCTGGCTGATTCCTGTTTAGCCATGGTAGTGATCGATACTACAGTTCTCATTTTCTACATTACAGAGCACGCATGATTCCAATAATTTGGGGCATAAATTAACTTCTCATAATGTTGACGTCCGACTACGTAAACTAGGCCAGAGGGAAAGGCCGGACTAACTTTCCAGTCAGAGGAGCAGACTTGAAAGGTATTCGCTTTTTATTGAAAGAAAATATAATTCGCACTACTCCATCCCGCAATGTCCCTAAACACCCTAAGCAGAGGTAGCGAGGTCCTTCTTGAGGGTACCCAGGAAGGCGCGCTTCTCCTCGGCGGTCTGGAAAGCACCGTGTCCGAACTTGGACGAGGTGTCGATCCACTTGAGCTCGACCTTCTCGGTGGCACGGCGGTTGGTCTGGGGGTAGAGGGTCTTACGGAGGGTCATGACACGCTTCTTAACACCAGGGACGGAACCCTTGAGGAGAAGGAAGTCGTTCTTGACCTCACCGTAGCGGACGAAACCACCAAGACTGTGAGCGATGGATTAGTGCGGCTGCTAGCGGAAACCAGAGGACACAGGGTGACTTACGGAGTGATCTGCTTCTTGGAGATATCGAACTCGGTGGAGGCGTTACCCTCATCGGAGCCCTTGCCAACACGGAAGACCTTGTGGTTGCAAGAGGTACGGTGGTGGTAACCCATCTGACCGGCACGGGCAACAGTCCACTGGACGTGGCTAGGGTGCCAGGCACCGATACAAGCGACCTTACGCAGACCCTTGTGAGTCTTACGGGGAAGCTTCTTGGTGCCCCAACGGCTGGTGACACCCTGGAAACCGTGACCCTTGGTGACGGCAATGACATCGATCATCTCGTCCTTCTCGAAGATGCTGTCGATCTCAATAGGCTTCTCGAACAGGTTGCGGGCGAAGTCAACCTTGTCGGCAACGGAGCCACCGTTGACCTGGATCTCCATAAGGTGGGCCTTCTTCTGCTTGAGAGGGGTCTTGCGGATCTGAGTGTGGGCGAGGACACGGACGACAGTGCAGTACTTCTTGACGCGCTCGAGCTCGCGGGTGATGGAGGCACCGCTCTCCTCGGCGTGCTTCTTGGTGTACTTGGTGAAAGCCTTCTTCTTGCTCTTGTACCAGTTCTTGTAGAAGCGACGCTTGACCTCGTCGCTCAAGTGCTCAGCCCAGACGGTGGTGAGGGAGCGGAGACCACGGGGAGTCTCGATGTAACCGACAACACCGACAGCGACAAGCTAGAGATGAGAAACATGTAAGTGGTGGCTCGAATCGGGGGGAGCGGTCGCCCCAGCAGGGCCCTGGAAAAACGTCTTCCTCCTGATGGTCGGGGTCGGTTCACGTACAGGAGGAGTCTCGATAACAGTAGCAGCCTCAACAATCTCCTTCTTGTGCATCTTGGCACCGGGGCGGTCGAGGTCACGGACAACAGTGGTCATACCGGCCTTGTAACCCATGGAGGCGGTCAAGTGGACGGGCTTCTTGGGGTCATCCTTGGGGAAGCTGTCGCAAAGAAAAAAAATTTTTCAGTATACTGCCTCCCAGATCGCGATTGCATAAAAACTTTTCCATCCTCGAAAGACTGACCTCTTGACCTTTCCACGGTGTCTGGCGGCGCGCTTGCGAGGCAAGTAGGCGAGGGAGCCTGTAGCGACCTGTGTCAGTACCCAGTCCACGCAAAAAACTTCATATCCCGATGTCGAGCGAGTGGTGAAAAGCAAGAGGTTGACGAACCGTGCCGAGGCGCTTCGTACTTCCGGTGACTCCTGAAAATTCAAAATCCATCAGCGATTTGATTGCTTTCGAATTGAACGTGCATATATCACCGGTGAGGGCGACTTACATCTTGACCCTGTTGTCGTTAGTCGTCGAAGTGGTGAGTGAGAGTGTCTATCTCTGAATTTGGCGGAAGTCGTATTTTGCACGCTTAACGAATTGTGGGCTGATCTAAGCGAACTCTTGGCGTCGGCTTCCGGATGGGGTTAAGCGATGGATGGGCCCGGCTTCTTCCTGCCTCAGGCAGAGGTATTCTGGCAACCAAACTCAGAGTTCGCTCCCACCGCCAAACATGAATGGAGAATTCACTGACACACAAACCACTTTTTCTCATCCCAGTCAAATTCTCGTCCATGTGTCTCCAGTCGGTGGGACCTTTGCCCCCCCCCTCCTCCCCCCTCCTTCCCCTTTCTTTCCTCTTCGGGTTTTCTCCCTAAGAAACTTTGCATGCTCGGCCATGATCTACCCAGATGTGTCATCCTTTTGCAACGGAACATGCTCTAGTGGGCCACACGGTCGCACGCTTAGGACATCCATACCACCTCGCACTCTTTTCCAGCCCCAATTGCTTCCCCAATACTAGTAGTTCTCCACGCTTGAAATGCATAGGGCGAGGCTTGGCACGTTGTGCTTCTACGGTTCGAATCTCAGCTTCTTTCTTACCACCTGCTGCAGTGCTGTGATGTGTGGTACAGGCCTTTCTACACTGACTATCCTCCTGTTATACAATCGACTTGAGTTTGCCTCAATTGGCACCCGCTGCAATCAAGGCCCCTTTAGAATGACTAGTGTGTTTGAACGGAGAATGCGTTACTAAAGGGCTCAAATAGTAGACACTCAATACAGAAACCGATGACCATAAATAACCGTCCCATGAGTTGCCAAGACTACAATACAAACAAGCTCTCGTGATAAAACAGCGGGCGAACAGAGTGGCCAAAGAAGATTGAAGAAAAGATATATAGACGAAACCAAGGAAAGGGGGAAAAGGAAGGGTAACGAGGGTAGAGAGGCGTCTCATAGTAGAATTAATCGTTGCGAACACTGGTTCTTGATTTGGGCGTCATGTTACAGCAGTCAATACACCCTGGAGGGGCATGCATGCAAAGGACATCACATCACCGAGCTCTAGACTGCAGGAGTAGACTCGGTTTTCGCTTGGGCGGGCTGGGACCCACTGGCCAGGACGCCATTGCTGCTGTTGTTGGCACTAGCGGAGGGGCTTCCCTTAACAGCGGCAGAAGCTCTCTTCTCATCGTCGCCGTCATCGTCGTAGTTCTCATCCACGTCCATTTTGCGTGCCGCGGGCTCGTGGGCCGGGGCTTGTTCACTGCGAGCTGGCTCCTCCTTGACAGGAACGGTGGCAGATGGCGGGCCAGACTGGGGACCATTGGAAACCGTAGCCGGGGTTTCGGACATGGGAGGGAGACTAGGGCCGCCGGCCGGGTGGGGGGGCATGTGCTGGATAGAAGGCAAAGTTTGAGGGTGATGGGCCGCCTCAGATGGATGGTAGTTTTCATTGACTCTGCGTTGGTCCTCACGACGGGCCTCCGAGGAGCTACGGCGCTGCATCTCTCCAGGCGAAGGCATGCGGTTGGGAGGAGTGACGCGGCGAGTCATCTGTTCGTCCAGGCGAGCACGGCTCTCCTCACTAGCGATTTTCTTGGCAGGACCAGGCTCAGAGTCCCACTCTCTACCACGCTTCATAGCAGAGCCAGGACGATCCTCACGCTCGCGGGCAGCCGCTTCTGCGGCGCTGATGGCAGAGGCAGGAGGAGGTGCGCCACCTGCAATGCCAGTGCCACTAGGTGGCACGGTGGGGCCGTGGTGGTACTGTTGGTGCGGGTAGGTGGAGCCAGGCGAGGATGGCCGTTCGTCACGAAGGGGCCTGATTTCCGTAGGTGGAGTGAAAGGGCGATGGTAAGGAGGCAGAGTACCGCCAGGAGTAGGTGCACCATTGGCAGCACCAGGAGCAGGAGGTGCGGCGGGAGCTGGGGGCAATGGTCCGCGTGTTGCGGAAGAGAAAGCCGCAGAGGCACCAGGAGTGCGATCAGACGCGGGAACATTAGGGTTGGCGAGCTGAGGAAGGGTGTGTCCAGGCCCATAAGCGTTAGGGCCGCCGGGCAGAGTAGTCTTGGGAGAGCGAACGGCCGGCTGAGGACGCACGGCATCGGGAAACACTCTGCCTGGCTCCTGTCGCGGGCTCGGTTGCTGAAGGGAGCTGGGAGCTCGGAGAGCATCGCGGTGATCAAATCCGTTGGCGGCTTGGGCTTGAACCTGAGACTGGACTTCGTTGATGCCACGGTTCCAGTCAGCAATCTGTCTCGGGGGGGCGGGAGCCTGCGGGGGTGGACCACCGGTGGGGGCTGGTGCACCCCATTGAGGCGCAGGAGGTGCTCCAACACCGGGTGCTTGATACGCTTGTGGGTGGACATCCTGGGGCTGAGGAGCCGGGCCGTTGCTTTGGCCGGAACCTGACAGCTGGCTCTGGAGGAGTTGCAAGCGGGCCTTGATGTGAACATTGGTCGGATCCAGGTCAGCAGCGCGACCGTAGGCATCAAGTGCATCCGCAATCTGGTTATTGCATGACTCATACTAGCGGCGAGGTCAGCGTTCGCCCTAATGGCACCTGAAGGGCTGTGACCTACCAAAGTTCCCAGATCGTACCACACTTCCGAAATGTATGGGTTCAAGCGGATCGCACGGGAATAAGCATCCAGCGCATCACGGTACTGGTTGATCTGATAATACAAGACACCAATGGAGCACCAGAAAGTCGGGTTGCGTCCGTCACGGTAGACCGCCTGTTGATAAGCTTCATACGCCTTGGGGTACTTGGCTTGAGACATGTAGCAGCGACCCAACAGATACCAACTCTGGGCATCGGTGTTGTCTATTGAATGTTACGTCAGCGTCGAATTGCGAGTGGACGAAATGTGCGATGCATACCTGCGCTGACGGATTTCTCCAAGTATTCGATCGCTTTCTCCTGACTAGCATAGTTGTTGCTTTGCTGATGGTAGAGCCATCCCAGCTGTTGCAGGACCTTGGCGTGATTTGGGTCCCGGTCAAGGACCCGTCTGTAGGCTTGCTGCGCGGCATCAAACTGTGGCTGGATTAGCTGCAAATCATTCGCTGTATGGTTGTCCAAACTTACATCTTTTTGCTGTTCATGAACGTGGCCAATCTGGAACCAGATATCCTCTTCCGTTAAGGGACGGGGAGGGTCTGTCACAATGTATTTGAAGCACTAAAGATTACTCATTAGTACAGGATTCAACAAGTCCACGGCAGTGGCACGCCATCTGCAAGATACATACCTCCAGACTCTGGTTGAACTTCTGCTGCTGCTTGTATATTATGCCCAGCCTGAAGTAGATTTCGTTGGCCTTTTCGAAATCGGGCGCCATGCGCATGACTTGGGAGAAGGCTTCTTCGGCGTGATCTAGGGAGCCATAGCGATCATAGAGAATACCAATTCCATACCACAACTTGGGCTCCTGCTTTTCATCAGTATTTCTATTCGTATGATCAACAATATTCAACCGGTTACCGACCTTTGGATCACGGAGGTGATAGAGCGCCTGTTGATAGGAAGTGTATGCCTCCTGCAAGTTGTCCATCATCAGATGACAATGACCTAATCGAGTCGCAAGTCAGCGATAGATCAGACACTAAACAGGTTATACGTACCCAGACTGCCCCATGTTTCGCCACTGGTGGGATCCAGCTTAAGGATGTTTTGCAGGTACTCAATCGCCTTGGGAAACTGCTCCTTTGTGCGCAATATACAAGAGATCGCATTCATCGCAGGGATAGACCACTGATTGTGTCGCAGCGCTTGTTCGAAAGCATTCATGGCACCATCAAGGTCACCCATCAATTCAGTGAGCGCTCCTTTAGGCAGACAGTTAGCGGTGGTCCAGCAGAGACGACGGCCAAGACAAGTGGCCCTACAACATCAATGCCATTATAGATCTACGTACCGATTTGTAGCCAGACTTGTTCATTCAGAGCAGCAATCTTCTGCGCAGTAGTCAAGGGCGGGCCCTTCTGGCTCTGGGATTGCAAGGGGAGGTGACCATTGACCTGCGGATGAGCTGCGAGATGGCCATGGTGAGGGGTCACACCCCCCGTAGGTGATGGCTGTGTGTGGGCCATTATGTTGATACAGGATTAAGCCGAGACGCGACACAACCGAGTGATGCGGATCCTGACTCTTTATGCTCCCATGCACTTTGCGACACGATGATGCAACGAGCGCTTGTGTTACGGCGAGGTCGCACAATCCAGATACAGGCGGTCGCGCAAACTAGACTTAACCACCTGGAATCGAAACGCGACGGGATCCCGAAACGATTCACGCAAGACGGTTACTGCCAAAGCGAAATCGAACCCAAGTCGCGACGGCGGAAGGAGGCGATGGGACGACACGGAATGGGCCGTGGCGCTGTCAAGCTCGAAAGATATACGGATATGCAAGCGCTAAAGTACTTGCACGGTCAATCAAGCCCAATACTGCGGCTGGGATCTGTATATGATGGATGAGTGACCCGCCGGTAGGAAAGTTGACAGGAACACGGCAAAGCAAAAAGGATCGAACGGCAGAACTGAACAACAACTTGGAGGGGGGGGGCGATGAAGCCGAATGACACAAGCAAGGGATAGTGAGATAAAAAGGCGGAAAAGGGAGAGAAGAGAATTGAGGAATTAGGGGGGGGGAGGGTGAAGTGACAAAGGTGAGTTTAATTGGCAGGGGGAGGGCGAGCCAAAGCGAAAGGGAAAAGGAGGAGAAGAGGGAAAGGAAGAGAGAAGAGAAAGACAGAGGAAGAGAGAAGAAGAGGAAGAGGAAGAGGAAGAGGGAAGGTCGAGGGGCTGGTGGTAGAGAGCGAAAAACGCCAAGAGACGCTAGTGGTTGTGCAGCTCTGAAGCAGTCAACGAAACCCAAGGAAAGCACGGAAAAGCTGAGATGGCGGTCGTCCGGCGCCAAGCCGAAGACAGGCAGCTCGACCTCCAGGAACGGCCTAGCGGGTGGGGACAATCTGGAGTCGTGTCCGCGGGTATTTACAGTTAATATTTTCCGGGCGCCGAACTTCAGTTTGGGTCTGGGGGGCGTTGCATTCGTCCCAGCAGCAGCAGCAGCAGCCGAAGCAGCTACAGCAGCTACAGCAGTACAGCAGCATACATGCGGAAGTTTACTATCTGCTGTTTCTGTGGTTAAATTTGTTCACCGGGACAGCGGTGCCGTTTAAGTGCAATAAGCACACAAATTGATGCCTGAGGCTGTAAAACTAGAAGCACACTCCACGCTACTCCTAACTATAGCTCATACAATGGAACAGCCTCATTCATGGTACTCTTATAATGATCGTAAGCAATAGTATGATGATATATATCCCCCCCTCCATGCGAATCGCTTATGCGCAATTAGCGAACGACTCTAGATGAGGGGTGAACTTTTACAGTAAGAATTGTATCACCATCGCGGGAAAGGGCTTAGTGTCAAATGTTGGCAGGCGGGGGCGAATGTGATAGTGACCTGACCAGTTACGGTACATAGTACTATATACCACTGAAAATCTAAAGGGAAAATGGGACCAGGCATAGAATCAGCAAAGTCGATGAATTTGATGAGTGCGACTGTAAGAGACTGACTGTAGAGTGCACACTACAGAAGGAAACGGGGGGGTGGACCGCGCATGGGGACGGGCGGAGTCAATGGGAGAAAAAATAAGTGGGTATGGAGTCGAACCGCCCCGAAACAGGGCAGTGTTTGACGAGGATGCAAGCGCCGGAGCCAAAAATGCACCTTCAGGGATGGGGAGGGTGGTAAGTCTAGCACGAACCCCCGGCTGTGACTCGCCGAAAGACTGCAGGTGGACCATGGTCAGCTAGACCCACCCGACCTCACTTCCCCGTGCCACTTTGTCATTTTTGAGAAAAAAAAAAGATTAGAAAAAAAAAAACAAAGGGATAAAATCCCAAAATGGAAAAAAGAGAAAAAATAAAAAGAAAAAAGAGAAACCTACTCGAGTATTATTCTCTTTCCCAATGAATCAACCGCATTATTAGCGGAACGACGCCAATAATTTCTGCCCGCGTAAGTGGGGCTGCAACCGACCTACATGACTGGCGTATGGCCATAAATGCATAAGCTCAACAACCTAAGCTCCCGAGCAAGCCTAGATAGTCAGGCATGAGGCATGAGGCGTACTCCGCACTCGGACCACCTGCAAAAACCCAAATGCTGCACTTGCCAGTCGCGCCCGTCCTGCCGTCCTGCCGTCCCCAATGACCTCCTCCCACAGTGCCTCAGGGCTCTAACGGACAATACATGCACTTGCGTATAATCTACTCGTACTGTACATATGGCGTAGGACCCTCTGCAGTCCAATCTTTAATCACGCTTTCTCCATCCCCCTCTTCCATGGGTCGATCCGAAATCTCAGTACTCCGTACTCCGGCACAACGATAATCGGTCTACTACCTCCCAGCCTGAAAAGCAAGTCAAACAGTCAAACCCTCTTTGGATCAGCCCCCCTTCACCCCTTCCCCATTCAACTTCATTTCTTCACCAGTTCATCTCTCTTTTCCGGCTGTCAGACATGAAGGGCCAGCCACTGTCAGTGCGGCAATCTTGGGCTGGCTGCACACTGCCGGTTATGCTCAGCCGTCTGACAGATTGGCACAGTCCGTGTGGACTTGCAGCTGTCTGCATGGGAGGGGTAGTGGACGTCAGGTTCAGGAGGCGAATATGGACGCTCTACCAGGTTGCGTGGTTTGTGGTACAGACGAACATTGTCATCACTCTGTGCGAGGAGAATGGATTTTCTGGTTTCCTGCTCTTTTCATCCCTCCCCCTCCCTCCTCCCCTCCTCCCACCCCTTCCGTCATGGACTGTTAAGAGGCTGCTTTTCAGCCGCGGACTGCAGCAACGGGCTTACCTAAGCGCCCGCCCAGATCCCAGATCCCACGCATGAGTAAGTTGTGCTAAGTCAAAATGTACAGTACTAATGGATGCCTCCGGCAACAGCCACGGATTCCTAACGGATTCCTTGGAGTGGACCTTACCCGATGCTGATCCGTCGGCTTTTCTGTTGATGTCTCGATGATCTTGATACATCACCTGGGTGTGGGCCGATCCTTTTTTCTTCTTCGCGCGCTTTTCCCCCCTTCCTCCCCCTCTTTTTTTCTTCCCTTTCTCTTTTTTCTCTTTTGGGATCAATGCCCTTCCGTTTCTTGCCCTCTTTTCCCTTTTTCATCATCACATAAAATCTGGCTGGCCCTTTCTTCTTCCCTGATGACCTCACCACCCTTCCCTTTCATCTTGTGTGTAGTGAGAAAAATGCCACCTTGCATTTTCGTATTTCTGGACAGACAATAAATAATCCTTGGCCCTAGACACGGCGGTTGATGCCCTAGAACTTTCTTTAGCTGCCGGTCCAACTCACCGCAGGGTCTCTCCCCAACTCCCCTCAAGGCCCCGACATACCAGCCTAGACTCGGAGCCAGCCGGTAACTAGTACCTCGCACCTACTGGTTTTCTCCCTAAACTCCTACGGGTTGGTCGGGGTTTCCTTCGGCCAGGTCAAGAAAACGCACCCTTCGTGATTCTTACGTTAGGCCCCTTTTGTCGGATCCGAGCATCGACCTTGACTTTTCCTTCGAGTAGTTTAGTTCGCACCTAATCAAATTCCTGATAGATCCGCCCCAGAGACTGTGTCCATTGCCAATGCGACTGAACAGGTGTGGTTAGGTGGCTTTGAATGGCATTGAATCTCAAACAGATCGAATTCCAATGGAATCGACAGATTCAACCCGGCACGGCAGTATGTCAGATGAGGGTTCTGCTTGTTCCTGTTGGGTTGAGACACTGATCCCGTGGTGGAGGGACGGTGCGTGCCCTGGCTTTTCCTACCTACACTGGTTAGTCCTGATGTACTCGGTCTTCGCGACTTTTTCTCCCCTCTCTCTTCCAGCCCTGAATGGAAGTATCCGACCGTCCGGAAAGCTGCCAGTCAGAAGAATCCACCCACCCACTCCATTCTTCACACTTCATACTTCCTAGACTACGTGCCCCAGTGCCCACCCCGAAAGGAAAAAACCCCCCCACATACTACTGACTACGGGTTAGATTCCGCCTAGCAATGTATCTCAAACACGAGAACAGGTGTGCACATTACATCGGCGATTGAGTCGGTATGTGGGTTACTCAGGAGGAACAGCAAAAAAAAAAGAAAAAAAAGAAAAAGTAGCATCTGCAGAAGACACGAGTTCGTACGGACCCGGCTGGCTGCTCTTCGAGATGGATTCCATTTTGTCTTACCGTGCACAATTCGGGAAGGGATACACATACCTAAGCACATGAGTTGTGCTCTGGCGGTAGGCCATGCGACCTGAATAATCTGAGGAGATGCGGTGTGTACACAGGGTCGTCAGGCATGGCAATCGACAGGGCTATATATACCCAATGTCAGTCTCCGTAGGTGGGAAGGCTTCACATCACCCTGTCCCCCCTTTGACCGAACCGGCTGGGATGACAGATTACCTTCCCACACCATCGCTCCCCACCCGGCGGTAAGAATTTACTACAGTATCGATCCCATCCCTGTTTTTCTCAGATGCAACTATCACCACTTCATGCATGGCGCCTACTGGGGAGAACGACCCGGGCAAATGTACGGTCACGTACTGTACTCTACAGTGCCTCCATCATATGTGCGTGCATGCCTGCAGCAAGCAGTCTTGCAACGACTGAGCTCGGGACACACAAAACAGCCCCAGTCCCAGCCCCGGTCCGCGCGGGCGGGCGGGCGGCCAGCCAACCAGCCAGCCAGCCAACCAACCAACCAACAACTCCAGAAATCCCCTTGTCAACAAATAATGACCTGGTAGTAGTACCGTACCTACTAAACCATCAACACAATAACCGATGAGTCTTTCAGTCCAGGTCCAGGGTTTTTGAGTTTCTTTTCACCTTTACCCCGGCCCCATCCCTCTCCCTGCCTACATGGGTGTACAGTGTACAGTCCCACAGTCTGGGTGTCTGTACGGAGCACTGTACAACAAACCCCCCATCGCCCCTGCGGTGTTCCCCACCATGTGTGACTACTATCTTTGACAGGCTGATCTGGTGACTCTGCTACGATATCTTGCACCAAGGGGGAAAGTGTGTAATGTGTTACTGAGTACCAGTTCTGCACGCGTGCGTGTGTGCGTTGCGCTGCATTGCGACAGCCTTGTGTAGCAGTAGTGCTGCTGTATAGGAAGGGGCCCGCGGAGAGGCAGACCATGCTCCGCAAATATAACCTAGCTAACCCACCGAGCCAGGTGCTTCCAGCCCTGGGAATATAAACAATAAGATAAGCAGCAGCTACCACCAACTACCGGTCCTGTATGTCTCAATTTAAATAGACGGGAGGGGAGCTCCGTCTGGGTTCTTTTGCATGGCTTCGCAAGGATGTTTTCATTTTCCACTTTCGAGAAAACCCCCCCAGATTCAGCAAAAACCTTCCATCTCGATAGTATATACAACTACCGGGTAGGTAGTTTCTTTCTTCCATCCCATAGATAGGGGATGGATATACGATACGATAGGTAGACATTTTCTCCAAGAGAAGAAATTAACCCGTTACACAACATCATGCAACCCATCCTATAATCCAGTAACCTTGTTTACGGGAATAGCAACCACCGGTGCTGTACTCCGTACCTAGTCCGGTACTGTCCCCTAGAAAGAAAACCAAAAAAAAGGTCGCCCCGCTCAGGATCTTGTATAGTTAAATATTTCTTCATCTCTCCCACTGCCGCAGGGTTTAGAAAACTAATATCGCATTCCCCAACCAGATGAACCAGATGACTATCCATAGTCGGAAGCGAGAAAGAGAGAGTCCATCTAGCTAGTGTTAGTGATCGAAAGCATCTCATCTCATCACCCTCCCTCAGGGGGAAACAAACACGGTGGACGTGTCGCGCGCATCATCGTCATCCACACACCCGCCGGGGCCGGCCGAGAGAAGGGCGGGCGGGGAGTGAGTGGGAGGGAGGGGAGCCACCCACACCCACCCGTCCACAAACACACACAATGACAGTGACCCCCCCCCCCCCCCCCCCCCTCTGCCGTCTGGCATCTTGATCCTTCTAGGAAGATCAAGATAAAAAAGAGGTACAGTACAGTAGTAGCCGAGCCGAGTCTGCTTCGGTGGGTTCGAGTTGGTGATTATGCTGGCCCAACTGCTGGAGTATATTCTTTGGTCTGGTGGGGTATAACTAAGGTATTGACTGAATTCTCCCGTGGCTTTACAATTGTTGACTCAATCTGAGCTATTTTTCTAGAGAATCATAATGCTTGTCTTCGATCTGTAGGGCGATTGCAAGATCGGCCTGAGCGGCTCGAGCCACAGCAACAGCAACACCCGGTGCTGCATTGCCATTGCCATTGCCGAGGAAGGGACGGAGGGCCGTTGAGCCCACTGGTGCACTTCAGAAGGATTTCCTTCAATTTAGTTTACCTAGTACCTAGTAAGCCGCGGGCGGGACAATTTGAACCCCAGGCCTATCCTCCACTTTCGTAGGCCTCCGAGATTGCAGTGTTCCATGGCAGGGCTGTAGTGCCTTCAAGACGGGATTAATTCAGTAGGTACGGTAATTAGCTGAGGCCGGGTTGAATTGAGGGTTCCTTTCCAGCGAGTAGGTAGTAGGCCGGGCCCGCCCACCTCATCCTTTGGCAACCCAACGGGTTGCACAATGGCTGCAAGGCCATTGGCTCTTCGGACGGGTACTGTGCTGTGAGTTACCTACTAGTTGCGTCATGTGACTCGAAGCGACGCGATGCACAATATTAGCTAAGCACAATCACTAACTAACTTATGCCGCGGAGCTACTGAGAACCCCCCCCATTTATGCACAGAAGTTAAGGCACCGTTAGGCAGCCAGCTGAACTGGCCCGGGGGGCTGAAACATATGCAGCACAGGGCCCGGGCTGGCTGGCTGGCTGGCTGGCTGCCAAGTGAGACTGTCTCTTGTTGGGCGCGAGGTTGGATGGAGTGCTTTCAGAAATCTGCTGCCAGGACGGCGGTAGAGTCCCAGGAATTCGACACCACAGGCAGGTTTCCGTTCCGATCTGGCCTAAGTCGCCTGTGATAGGAGTGTAGATCTGGGATTGGACAGGTGTAGCTGAGCTTGGAGACCGTGTATAGACACATCTGAACGACCTACATACTTGTGTATAGGCTGGGTGTGACCTGTTGATCAACTTGCAAGCGAGCTGCGTGTCCTCTCGGATGTGTGAATTGGTATCAGGATTGGATCGCGACTAGACTCCCCTCTCTGCTTTGCTTATCTTGACCACAAATCTCGAATAGGTAGCATCCCATCCTCGAGAGACAAAGGTCGTGGTTCAAGTTCTACCAGTACTCCTTCCGTTCTCCGCCCCCCTCGAGCATGATCCCACCAGCTCGATAATCTGGGTTTCTCCCGAAAGAAAATTACAGACTTCATACATCGCACCATCATCCCAGAGGACTTCTTCGCTGGACCCCCCCTTCTACCTTTTGATATCGAGTGATTCACCGAGCCAGATATCCAACGTGGCCAGGAAGGGCTACGGTGAGTCAAAATCCTCAACGTTCGTGTTCTGGAGATTGGCTACCTTCACGAGTATGCGATCTTGCTGTGGTTCATGCTAGGTCTCGCCAGCAGATGTTTCTCACCCAAGTAGATCAGCGTCTCCACTTGGGCTAGATGCTGTCCCGCTCGGAGTGGCAATCTGCTATTCCCGGGATTATTCCTCTCTGTTTATATACGGAATTGGCCCGTGGTCTGCCGCGTTTGAGCGCCTTGAACTAAGGGTACTGGGGCTGTGGTGGGACCGTAGAAGCGGGATTATGGGTTGAACGGGGGTTAGGTGGCATTTTAGCGGAGCGTTTGTCACTAAATCTCAACCAAAGGGGGGAGAGGGCTGGTGGTTTCATTCAAGGTTCCTGATTTCTCTCACAAGGAAGAGTACAGTACCAGAATCAGGACCTGCAGACGACACCAAGACTACAATAGAGGCTTGGGGTTTCCTGCTACTTCCGCCTAATACACCGAGAATGTAAGACTATTCTCTCGCACGACCCTGGAGAGAACCCTTTCTCTATCACCTTTACACGAAGGCTGGGAAGAATTGAGATGATGAATGGCCCTAGCGCTTGGGACCGAAATCTTTTATTCGAATCCTTGACATGGTTAGGCGGCTTGTGAGTGTGTTGGGGACCATTCCATCACCTGTGGTTTTCGAGAATTTGCATGTCTGACATGAGTTCTTGGTGGACTATGAAATAGCAAGGGCAGAGTGCGTCTATCAGGGAGACTACCGTATGCATTATTTCACCAGGATAGCAGCAGAATGGAAAATGATCGGTGATGTCGCCAGACTCGGGAACGCCCACAGGGGACGAAGTCTTGTTTTCCACTACACAAATGAACTCTTGGGCGATTGGGCAAAGCCCCGGATATCTCCTGGAGCGGTGGTGAGATATCTGGAAGTGTCTTGTTTGACAAGAGTATAAGAAAGTGGCCCTTTTACTTCTATGGCGGCATAGAAAGATACAATTCGATATCAACGAGGGGTGGGTCTTGTCACTATCTTATTATGTCTGTGGTGGTGGAAGGTATATTGAGGTTTCAAGTAGGGAGTATGGCGTGGATGTGTTTGTGCTAGCACTGTCCGAAGGGGAGAGAAGAATGTATATAGACGCGACTACCTGATGATTAGTGTTGTACTAGAGGTCTCTATCTCCGAAGACCATGGAAGGAGCTTGAGATCCTACGGAAGCAGGCATACCGGTGGTGTCTTGGTGGTGAGGTAGACTAGGGGCCAGTATCTCCAGCACCTCCAATAACGCCAACCGGCTTGGCCCCCTAGCTCAATGATATGTTCCAACACAGCAATTATCCCCACCGGTCTGAGATCAACCCCACAAGGTCGGGGTGAGGCCGAGGTCCATAGAGCGGAGCTCCAGCACTTCGAGCAACCACGCAGAAGCATAGCACTATCCGAGAAGGCTGGCTCATACCATGCAACATACGCCGCAAGCTATAACCCTCTTGCTGGCGACCATCAAGAATCATGACTCAATGCTGGATTCTAGGTCCCCGAAGCCTCTGCTCAACGAATCAGACCTAACCACACATCTTGACCTTAGCTGCCATACTCCCATGAACATACCCAACTTACCTCACAGTACACCTCCAACCATCCAGAGCTAACCCCAACAAACCCACCTGCAACCACTGACTCGTCCCTCCATACCCAGTGTCACAGAGTGACTCAGTAAACAGCAACACCTCAACCCAACTTCCTAAAGAATCGTACGATCCTTGTCCCCACCCACCGAATCACGACAGCTCCTTTCGAGGCTCAATCCTCACCTACTTCTCGCATCGTCCCATCCCTACTGTTCGAGCTGAAGTGGTGGGACCGGAAAACATCTCCCGTGACATCGGTGCCCTGCTCGGAGCAGTAACGATGACACTATCTGCAGATAACGGATTGAACAAGAACAAGAAGGGATGGCCCGGTCGAGTCGACGGGGCGAGCTGCGTCATCGATGTGGGCGCACCATTGAGCACCTGATTGAGCCCAGACGATATCGGGTTCGTTCCTCATCGGCCTGTCGGATGCAGGGGTGGTTCCGGGTGTGGGGAGGTGCGTCCTTGGTATCGGTACCTGCGAGTCAGTCTCCTTGCAGGGGAGATGAGTTTCTCGGGATGAGGAGGTGGAAGCATGAGGCTGTGGGGTTTGGTAGCTGCTTCGGTGGCTGAGGTGTGCCGTTGGTCTGCTTCAGATTGGATGCGGTGGCGAGGACAGGTTCGTGTGTGCTGGTTCAGAGGGAATACCGAAGAAGTACTTCAAGCCATACACTATACTCCATCAACGATTGTGCGCATGTATTTAAGGCGATGGTTTGCGACGAACTGTCTCAGAATCCTAGCCATGGAAACGATGGAGAGTCAACTCTATGTTTACTGCCTTCAGCGAAACTACATCCAGGCGACGCAAGGGTGCATGAACCTATCAGAAACAGAAAAAGATCAAGTCAGACCTGTACGCGGTCAATGATGAAGCAAGCTCCCTCCTGGAAATGATCAGGTAATCGATAGTAGCCAGGGGTGGTAAGATTCAGATTATATCAGAGCTGTATACGGACGTGCGGGGGGGTCAGGAAAAGTCATGGTCGAGCACCCAAGGACTGAGCCCATGACTCAGTCCGACATTGAGAGTGCCATAAGCACTAACGAGCCTCAATCAATTGCGATTCCAACGGGAGATGTCTACTCAGCCCGACACTCAACCACGGATGGTAAACCCCCGGTGTCTTCTCCCGCAGACCAACCCGTAGGACAACAAAGATGCTCTAGGGTTCAAAATCCGACCGTTCTGAAAAAGGGGGGAGGGAGGGGGGAAGAGAAGGGGAGGACAACCACGACCCGTCACCCCCGCAAGCTTCACATGCATGGACTGCTGGGGTAGACCGTAGACGTAGACGTGGACTATGGGCGGATCCTAACTTACAATGTATGACAAACACAGTCATAGTTGTGCCGGAGCTTTCCCCTCCCTCTCTCACTCTCTCCCTTGTTGCTCGCGGCCATGGGTTTCACCGGCGGACTGCACCATACAGTCCAGTCCACTATTGAGCATCATCATCATCATCTTCTTCTCCCTAGGAGGGTTGACCGGCATGAAAGCCACGCAAACAACCGAACGGATCGACCTTCTGACCAAGCAGAACAGTTGTTGCAGCCTAACGTTCTGGGCATGGCAGGCCAAGACCCGAGACTCGGTTGGATCTCCTGGCGGGATTGAATGGACCAACAGGACTGGTTTGCCCAGCCTGTGATGAGCAGTGAAACTGTGCGACTCCCCTCTTTTCTTTTCTGAAATTTTTTTTTCGCCCTTCTGGTCTTTCTCGTCTTCCTCGGAAAAATCGCTATCACGAGTGCCCAGGGTCCAAGACACGCACAAGCCCAGACGGCGGTGGACAGGTCATGTCATGACTCCTTTCTTTCTTCTTTCTGCCTCCCTAAGTCCGAGAAAGTTGCGATTGAAGCCGGAATCAATCGATGCATCTCGGGCGGAGATATCGGAGAGAGTATCGATCGTAACCACTCAAGATTCGAGGTCAATCCATCTGTGTAAGAGAAGTGAGCACTATGTAGTCCGATTCTGTAGGAAGGTAGGTAAGTAAGCCAGATTGCGGTTAAGGAGATTGGAAGACGATCCCGACAACCGCTAGAACTAAACAATCCCTAATATACGGAGTAAGTACGTAGGACAAAACGCCGCGAGAGGAAATAAGAGTTGGTGAAGCGCCACCAGGCGTCGGCGTTACCTAATTTATTGACGGATCGACCAGCTGGACACGGCAATCCGGCTGCGAAAGTTGAACGATCCTCACTCGCCCGCGACTTTGGCACTTGGGTTTTATCTTTTATCTTTTTATCTACTCCGTACTCGAGGTGTCTTTGCACCCGCCAATGCTCGGCGGGAGTTCAGATCAGTCAGACTCGGTCTCTCGGTCAGTCAGGGTTTGTTTGTTGGTCTGTTCCTTCCCACGGAACAGGCAGGGTCTAGGCAGGCTTGGGGATCCCCCCCGGAACGTCATGCTGAAGTGGGATGATTCTTTTCCTGGAATTTTCTCCGCATGGACTGCGAATCTAATCTAAATAAATGAGGATTATTTTTATCCTGCATTAAATCAATCAATTAAATGTCATCTCAGTCTGCATCTCTCAGACCACACCCCTCTCTCTTTTCCCCCTGGTCTGGATTACGGCAGTTGGCCAGTTGGGGCTGGGTGTGCCGCTGCAGGCGGTCGGAAGGTAAAAAAGACCCCGGGCTCCGGCATTGACTTAGCGAGGGTGAGCGGTAATACTACTCCTTACTACAAACTGGACCGGGGACTGTAAGTACGTAGGTAGGGTAGCATTGGCCGATTGGCCCCATCCCATGGTGACGCTATGCTGGAAAGAGGTTAAGTGACTTGGCCATCATCCCGCCAAGGCCAACAATCCATCTCCGAATGCGGATCACGAACAAATGACTCTCGGCCTGACTGGCCACCGCATCCCCCCGCAGAGCCTTGGCGTCTTGGCAGTTCAAGTGAAACAGAGCCTGACAAAAGAGAGGGAAGGATGAAGGGGAGTTATCTTCTGCCACTGCGGTTGTCAGATAAAGATTCCACAATTAAAACTGTATGATGATTGCGAATATGAGACAAGAGTACGTACTCATATACATAGTTACCCGTAGCGATGGATGAAGGTAAATCATCAATCACCATGGCCCCAGTCTGGGCCAGCCCTGAATACTACTCTCGCTTCTTCCTGCTATTCTCTTCCTCTTCCTCTTCCTCCTCCTCCTCCTCCACCGCCTCCTGAGTCTTTTCCTCCCCCTCATCCCTCCCCCCTTAACTCTTACTTTTAACTCTTCCTATGATTCCTGTTATTATTCCAGTCCTATCTCCTCTCCGCGCTGTGTCCGCTTCCGGCTGAACTTCCCTCCTCCCCCCCCTCCGTCCGATCGCTGGAACCACTACCACCATCAACTTCCTCCCTCTACTCTCTTTCTATTCTTCCTCCCCCCCCCTCCCAAACCTACCCTCCAACCACGCTATGCTGTTGGCCGTAACACGCTTTTGACGTTGCCCATGCCAAGGGCTCGGCAGCTGGGCGTCTTGGCAGCGAAAAAAGAGTTGCTTTCAACCAGAACTCCCTCCCTTTCCGCTGTTCCTGTTCGTCCTGGGAAATTCGACATGATCATCTTTTCTTGTCTTTTCTTGGGAGGTTCCGCTCTGTAACCTCGTCGTTGTCCATGGCACTCGTATAAGTCGAAGCTCTCTCGTCTCCTCCTCTTTCCGCTCTCCTCCTCCTCCCCCCTCCCTCTCTCTTTTCCTTCCTTTGTATTTACTTCCTTTATTCTGCCAGATATACAAAAGATCTCAGCCCTCCCCCCCCCTGGTTCCTCTCCCTCTCACACACACAACACAGACACACTCAGTGCCTCCCTTCCACCCCCCCCTACCCCTCTTTCCTCTCCTCTCCTCCTCTCATTCCGCCTTGACCAGAACTGATAAGCCTCTTCGGTCTCTGTGGCTCTTCTTATACCGGCTACCACCTACCCACTACCACCTACCAACCATACCACCCAAACAAACAAAACTCCCTTTCACCCCCTTGCGCTGAAAGCCATGCGGTGAACTCATCCCTGCTGTTTTGTGTATGCCTTTGTACCACCTTGTGTTGCTGCCGCGGCATTTCTGAGGGGGTCTCCCCGACCTCGATTGCGCCCTTGTTTACTACCTACCAACCTCCTGTTTGATACTTGCCTGTTCGCCCTTCCTTCCTCCCTTCCTTCCCTCTTCTCCACCCACGATGAGGCAGCCGGAGATGTCCCATTCTGCTGCCCACCACCAAGGTGACAACCCACTCATCACCGCTTACTTTCCCGACTCTATACCTGCCGCTCCTCCCGCTGCACATATAACCTCGGACTCACCTCCATTATCGCCCACCCAGCGTCATCTCCACGGAGTGGAGAGCTCCCCTCCGTCGGATCGGGACTCCGGTTACGATACCCTTCACCCTCAGCCGTCAGACTCCCATACGCAGCAGTATCACCATCCTTCCCGCCGGCGGAGTATCCCCAGCCCGCACCAAGGGTCCGTGGACACTGGATACCCTTCCAGTGCGGAGCCCATTATCGTGCCAGAGACGGTCGTCGCGGCGTCGCATCTGGAGAACGGCTCCCTGGTAACCCGAGCTTCGATGACGAGCGAGGCGGTGCGCAAAGAAGGGCGCGGTCGGGGCAGTTGGACTGACCATTCCTCGTATATGTCGGGCGACAACCACATGAATGGCGCGGCTCGAGTGCATAAACGAGCGATTGTGGAGGACATCACCCCTGAGGAGGAAGAGCCTGATGCGCTCGTCATGTTGGTACGTCTGCTTCCTTCCCGATGGTTCGTCGTATCGTGGCGCAAGCCCTGGCTGACCGCTTCCCTTTGTGCAGTTCCGACTCTCCATCCCTGTTCCTGTCTTCTCCTTCATCGCATCCCTGTATACCGTCTTCGGTCTTCTCTTCGTCCTCCTCGTTTCCCCGCTCCGCCTCTGTTCCTGCATTCGATACCTGCGAAATACGTCTTTCCGTGCCCAACTATGCGACCTTCTAGTACCGCAGTTACACATCCACGAGCGGTTGGTCTGCCTGCGACGGTCGTCGAGGCGATCGGCATCCACGCAACCGATCTATGATCCGGAGGGGTCGTTTTTGGACGAGCCGATAGAATCATACACGATCGGCGGGCTGATCTCGGTCCTGCTGCTGTCGCCCTTCTTTTCGATCGCGATTCTCCTGCCCGCCTGGATCGCCGCATTCTTTTGGATCTTCTCCATGGTGATGGGCAACCCCGACGGCACGGAGCGTAAAGACGATGGTCGCGCCGCGGTCCTCGGGGTCAGCAGATGGTGGCACTTATGGCTGGGGAAAGCTCGGAAGTCGCCGTCCTAGGGCACCGCGCGGTTATGCCATGTGTAGATTGCCTGTTCTTTTTCTATTTTCTGATTCTGTTCTAT